AGAAGGAGAAGGAGAAGGAGAAGAAGAAGAAGAAGAAGAAGAAGAAGAAGAAGAAGAAGAAGAAGAAGAAGAAGAAGAAGAAGAAGAAGAAGAAGAAATCCTTGGCAAAGACTAGAAGATGAAAAGCAGGGAAATCGACGAGATGAAAAGCACAAGGAAAACACACACACAGGCTAGGTTTGAGAGCAAACTGAAAAAGGGGGGATGTCAGCAAACCCACAGAAATCACCTTGGTTGGACAGAGAGAAAACACAACCGGAGAGGAAAAGATGAATCAGCTCTGAGAAGTCAGGTGAGAGGGAACCAAAGGTTTCGACTCCCAAGAGAGGCAGAGATGAACCAACAGCAATGGCTGAAATGTCCCTGGTCCAGCATAAGACATAAACCTTCTGATCTAAGAGACTGAGTGAATCCTTTACTCCACAGAGTATCAAAATCCATATCAGCCCACAAAGCAGACAATTAAAGCTCTGTCCCCCTCCGCCCCCCCCCCCCAAAGTGTCCTGGAAGCAGTGTGAGGAAAGATGCCTTACGTGTTCCTAAAGGGAAAAAGAAAGCCAACACTAGAGCTTGCCTATCAGTTTCAGAGACCAGGAGGACCAGATGTTTCCAAAGGATTGAAATAGAACTCTTAGCCTGGATCCTTAGACTAGAAGAGAACTATCAGGAATGGAGCTAAGTCAAGACTACTGCAGGCAAAGGGAACAGAGAGCCCACTGTGGATCTCTCTTGTGGAAGAGTCTGGAGGACATACAGGACAGATCAGGGGAGGGCGCTACAGAGGACCCTGCTCTGAAGGAGTCTCCTGGACTGCATTCGACTGTTGGAACAAACGACAAGAAAGCAAGCAAGCAAGCAGGAGAAAGATGATAAAGAATAGAAACCATGGAGCTGAACAGAAGAAGGAAACAACCACAAGTCAATAAATTAAATAACTGCTGTTTCTTTTGTTTTTGAGACTGTACAGTATCATGTTGTCTAGGCTGGCCTTAGGATGGTTTTGAACTTCTGATCCTCTTGCTTCTCTACCTCACAACTGCAAATAACTGGTTTTAGAAAGAGGTCTCCAGCAAGACTGACATGCAAAAAGACAAGATTCCTTGTATCAGGGCAACAAGGGGCACCCCAGGGTCAGTCAGTATCACTGAAACAGAGACAGCTCTCTACAGGTTCAGCAAAGGAAGGGAATGGAGAGAACACTAACAAGTCACACTGGCATGAAAATGCATAGAATCGGAAAGATGT